ATAATCACAGTCAAGAACATTTAAAAGAATTTTACCTGCAGCGCAATAATCACTGAACTGCTCTCCAATAATAGCCAAAAGCAACTCCTTCCACACAGCAGACTATAAATGAGAAGACAGCTTTATTTAATGATCATGAAAGTAGATAGTGTACAAAACAAACGCTTAAATGTGTTGTAAAACTTACAGTGCATTCTTTGGGTACTTTCATTTTCCACACACCACCTTTGGCATTGCTTTCTTCTTCCCTGTATGCAAACAAGGAAGTGCCATTACAAATGATAAAAATGACATCATGTGAAAACAAATGTTGTTCTTGAGGTTCATCTCACCAGAGTGGTTTTCTTTCTCCTCTCATCAGATGATAGCTCCATCTCAGTGGCAAGCTGGAGACCCCAGGTATGTTGTTGTAAACTCTCCAAAAGTTCTACTCCAGAGCAAAGGTGAACAGAGGAAATGGGTCATTTTATTGAACCATTTACCAACACACAGAGTACAGACATTTGGCCTTGATGATATTTTGCAGTGGCCAAAAAGAACTTCCTCATTACTCTTATCTACACACACCCACTGATAAACTGGCATTCCTATTACAAGACGCTTAGTCAAGAGCTGAGAGTACTTTGAATAAAATTATGAATTGCTTTTAAATACAAAGACATCAATCATAAACATTTTAAACACCAACCACCAACAAATGTACAACCACTTTGTGTAGTCATGTACCTGGACAGTCTCCACAGTGTAGATTTTCTTCAAGTTTGACTCACACTCAGCTGCTGTTGTTCCTGGTAGAGATCTATCACAAAAAGAAAATCAGATTCTACCTTCTTTTCTTTTTTAAATTCAAGCTTATAAATATCTCAGATCAACTAAATAAACCGTTTTTCTGAGCTATATTAATCACATGTGTCCAGATCATGCCCTTTGAGCAGACAGGATGAGGTAGAGAGTTTTTTTTTTTGGGGGGGGGGGATCAGATGACAAAAACGCCAGTAAACAGTAAACAACACTGACCCCGTTTGAACACTGCACCCTCTGATTTGTGCACACAGTGGACGATGGGCTTGTGTAACTCTGTGTTGCTTACTTAGTGTGATTACTTAGTGTCAAACTAGAAACTTTATTGAAAAGTAAAAGTAAATTTTACTTAAACAGAAGTAGTGACTCACTAAACAATAACAATGACATGAGCAGCAACAGAATAACACCTGTGCTAATAAGAACGTACAGTGACCTTATCTGAAATCACACCGAGTTATTAATATTCAGGCAGCCAGTAATAATTACACCCTTTGCTTATTTTAAGATCCTTCCAAGAAGAGGAATTGTTTATGTAGGTCAGACAGGAAACAGTTGGCAGATAATAAGCTGCATCACCATTACCAAAAATTTTGTATGTGTATCTCGTGCAATGTTCTTTTCTGATTAAATAAAGAAAAAAAAACAACAATCCGCGTTTTGCTGTTAAGATCACTTGTTATATTATCTAAGCTGCAATGCCTGACTTACAGTAGAGGCCTGATAAATTCATTTCCCCTCTTTGTTCTCCATAAGAGGTCAACAACAAAGAGTTCACCCAGACAACTACAGCAACTGCTAAGACAAGCGGGAGTAGGTGAAATGAAACAGTTTCTTACCTGTCGAGCCAGAATGTCCACGGAGAATGTAAAGGCAGGGTGTCATTTCCATTGTTATTGTTATTAGAAATCCCTCCCAAATTTCTGTCACTGATATGAATGTTGTGCTCCAGCAGACTCGGGCTGGATGATGAGCTCAGTTGTAATGCAGCTACTGGAACTGCCATCGTTACCACTGAAAGCCAAGTGACCACGTATTAAAAACTAGCCGATGTCTTGCTTTCACTGTTGCCGTCGTCCGCGGTGTAAATATATAGGCTCCTTAGGTAAAACTAACCACGATCAGCTGCTGACTCATTGGTCGCTTCACCGGTTTGCGCCGTCACAACACAAAACGATGACGCCCCGCTGACTGCCTGCGGCATCTACAGCGCGCCAGAGCGATCGAGAAGTTTCCGTCACGTAATCCTGCACATCCAGTAAATGAAAATATTAATACCTCCGCGGCGAGAATAACAAGTATTTTAATTTTAGCAACTTATTTCTTTGCGGGGGGTAGAGCTCTGCTTTGTTGATCTTCGCGTCTTCCGCAAATGTGAATACGTAATTGCTGACATGCGCAGTCGTCACTGCCACCAGCTTTGTTGGGTTGCTACCTGCTAACGTGATACTAACCTGCAAGTATTTCTTGCCTGTGACTGGCCACAGCAATGGACATCGACGCATTGTTGGAAGCGTTTCAAGGCAATGTTTGCAGTTGTTAAATGAGTTATTATTAGCTTAATTATTTCCTTTATGTTTGGTTTAATGCCATGAGCAAAATGTCTCATGTTTGCTAACTACGTTATCTCGTAACTTAGCTCATCAACAACAACTAGCGTTTAGAAGAAGCATCTAGCGTCTCTGAATTCAGTCTCTGCATGATTTCACCATTTTAATGCTGTCTTCTGCATGCAAAAATTTCGTCTTCACACACTTTACACCTTTTTATTTCCCCACGGACGCTTAGCGATTATGTAAACAGCTAGCTTGATAACGTCACAACATGCTGCTAACAATAAAATGCTAGCTAACTAACTTGTGGGAACTTTCCATATAGTTAACTGAGAACGGTTTGGGGATTTTATGAAGTTGCACTTAATATTTGGTCTTCTTTAATAAATGTATTGTCTTTTGATGCAGCAGTAAATATTTTAATTGATGTCACTGTAATTTGGAGAAGCCTGAAACCAAACATTATCTTCTCAGGTTATTTTAAAAGTATTCAACTTTCATATTTAGTTCAGTGCAGCCGCATGCATTTGTTTTATTATCTTGGGGATCAGCGTTGTTTCCTAGCTTGTTTTAAAGTTATTAAAGTTAAACTTTCTTTTTTTCCCCTCAATGTTGGCTTTTGCAGATTTTGAGAAGAAAGGGAAGAAAGACACCTGTCCCCCATTGGAGCAATTTTTGTGTCATATTGCCAAGACGGGGCAACCGATGTGAGTACAATGGGTACATGTCAAGAACGATGGCTACACCCATTTTCAAATTTTACACAACTGCACTTAACAATTTTACACTTTTCTTTTTGCCAAACAGAAATACTGACATCAGTTTTCCTGCAAATAAAATCAGCAGTGCCCTAGCAGATTTGTTTAAAGCAAACTTGCATTATCTTACAGGATCCCATGGTCACAGTTCAAAACATACTTCATGTTTAAATTGGAAAAAGTCATGGATGATTTTCATGCTGCAACACCAGAACAGAGAGGACCACATAATCCCAATGTAGAGTTTGTCCCATTTGAAGAAATGAGGAAGAGGATCTTAAAAATAGTGGATGGATACAATGGGTGAGTTAAGATTATAATGAGCAATGGTAAACAAATCCTTAGTCACAACTTCAGTAGTGACTGAGTTTTAACCAATAGTTTTTATTATTGGTATTCTTATATGCTGTCTGTTAAATCAAAACATAACCACAAAAACGTTTGAGCATGCATTTTATATAAAAAATGTACAAGGTTTACTCATATTTTATTCTGCCCACTGTGTGCTGCACTGTGACTAACAGGGTGGGCAATATACCCTCATAAATGATATCACAATATTTTAAGAAAATCTGCAATAATGATATTTCTGATAGGTGAAAAAATACTGAATTGCTAATTGAATCTTGCAGGCAGTGTGACTGCAGTGTGAATCTACTGAAACAAGATGCCAACAGCAGGCTTATAGTGCAATAGCAGTGACACAGTAGTATACCGAGTGTTTTCCCCTGGAAATTTTAATTAAAAGAATAAAAGAAGTGTTTAACAATACCCAAGGTATCTTAACATTATAACTCTTTGGGAGGTTGCACAATATTGTGATATAAAAAATGAACAATGGGATGTGATCTTGCTATCATATAGAGTACAACTAGCAAGCGCTCCAGCAATGCTGGATGGAGTCATTTGTTTACTTTTGGGCCTCACATCACCAACTGCTAGCGTCTCCTGCTTAGTAGCCTGGGTGTATTCAACAGTGTTTGGTGAAGCAGATCTAGTGATTCCACCTTCAGTGAGAATAGTTTTTGGGCATATTTTGCAAAGTAACGTATTTAGTTGGAAGCAGCCTTTTTAGGTTCTAAAATCATTGCCTTGCTCTCAAATATCTGTATTTGAACAATTGGTGTGTGCACTGGGAACACTTTTAACACTTTAAAACAAACTATATGAAGTGTTATGTTAATAAGCAATCTCACTAAATTATTTGCATCATAGCTTGTGATCATTTATGACTGTGGCTGACCAGATACATGCAGATTATTCTTTTTTTACTCTCTCTCTCTTTTTTGCTGCATGTATTAAACTCTTACTTGCTTATACTCATCATCATCTGTTCCCTGATCCTAAATATTTCTCTAACTTTACAGAATCCCATTCACCATTCAGCGTCTGTGTGAACTCCTTATGGACCCTAAGCGAAACTACACAGGAACAGACAAGTTTCTCAGGGGTTTGGAGAAGGTGAGCAATAAACCATATTATCTTAGTATTTGAACAAAAAGATAAACAATATTAGCATATCAGAATGTAAATGTACATTTCATGGCTTGAAAAAAAAGCTTATATTTTTTTCTCCTTTTCAGAATGTAATGGTGGTGAGCTGTATCTACCCCACATCAGAGTGAGTACATTGGCTGTTAAGATTCTGTTTCCTTTGCTCTTCTGTGTGCTGTATTTTTCTCAAGCTGCTTCTGTTGACAGTAATGGTCCCCTGAGATTTTATGCATTATTATTGAGTCACACTTACGGCAGCCATTTAACAGCCAGTTACCTGTGCCTTTCTACCTCTTTAAAGGAAAAATGGGGCATCCAGTATAAACAGAATGAATGGGGTGATGTTTCCTGGCAACTCTTCTCTGTATACAGACAGGTGGGTGCAAAATGTCAGTGACTGATTTATACAAATTTGAAATTGCTTCATAAACTGCTAGCAAGTGGGAACATTTTAAAGCCGTATTACATAAGGACAACCACAGTATAGTAAAGACAAAGCTATCTTGCCTGTCAGAAATAATAGTTTGTTCTTTTGGAGTAGAAATGTGAATGGGCCAGACACACCAAAACCACTTAACAGACCAAAGCTGTCATTGCCAACATCACTTTCCACCAACGGGCTCCCTGATTGTCCAGTCAGCAAAGAACCAGAGCCAGCCACAGAGGAGGTGGAGGAGCAGTGCGTAAGGTAAGTTGTTTGATCTGGTAATATGTCCTATCAAGAGTGTTTTATACTCTTGACACACTACTACACTACACTAATTCCTGCTTTTTAGTTTTTTGTTAGTTTTTTTATATCTCCTCTCTTGACCTCTCGTTTATAATTAGGTTTTGTCAAGACCCTGCCTTAAGAAAAAAACAAACAAAGAGCAACTCATTGGCTGGCATTTCAGTATATAATCTGTTTAACAGTTTTTACTGTATTTGTTTCAGTGAAACCTCACTATCAGAAGGTGAGATGACGCCAAATAGTGGGATAAAGAATAAACACCCAGAAGAAGAGGATTCTGATGGTGATAAGCAAGAGGTGAAGAGACTGAAATTTGATGAAACGGAGGAGAATGAAACAACAAATGAAAAAAATGAGTCGTCTTGCCATCAAGGGCCAGAGAGCGGGCCAGAGAGCTCGCCAGAGAGCTCGCCAGAGACACCAGAGTCTTCAAAACACTCCTGTGGTCAAGAATACAAAAGTGGAACATCTTGTGACACACCTAGTGTATCGGACAATCATGGTATGTGTTCATGATCCTTATTTAGGCTATTTTATGACTTCTGACACTACAGTAATTGATAGTGTCTTCATAATAGTTGCATTCTTATAAATCCAAATACACAGGGGCTTATACGTGTTACAAAAAAGACAACATAGATCTTTTTAGTACAGATCTCTTGGCTGTTGCCATTTCTCTGTAGTAGAACATAAATGCAAACTGACTAAAACCTAGTTAGCCTAAAGTTAAAGCAAGATTTCTGTGCCCTTCAAACAGGCAAATGATCTGAATAGTTTTGTGAAAATCTCTCACCTTATACCTTCTAAGCTTCTGATAAAGGTGCATTGATGTGTCTTTCCATATTAAAGTATTATTGCACTAGTCTTTAAATTGACATATTCAGCTGGATAGCCTACCAGTTAGTTGCCGCAGAATGTCACTTAAAATACCTTCTACTTTGCTTCCAGAGCCAAAAAGCACACAATCAGGACCCTCTGAGGTGGAAGAAGACTCATCTGAGGATACGGCTGATCACAGTCTGAAGAGCGATAGCACTGTGGACAAATCTGAGCAGCCTGTTCCATCAGAGGAAAGTTTTGAGCTGGACAGTGGGGAAGGAAACAGCAGCGATGGAGATGACTTAAGCAGTGACAAGCAGATACCCTCTTCCAGTAATTCACCAGATTTGTCAACAGAGGGCGTTGCTGGCATTTCAAAGAGTGCAGAGACTGCAATAGAGCCTGGGGAACTTGACTAACTTCAAGGCCTGTCTGCCATCTGACCTTTTTTTTTTCTTCTTTTTTTACACTGTATGATACCACACCAAGGGTATATCTGTAGCACTGTGGACCTGTAAGGACCAAGAGTGATGTGAACCTCTAGATTCCTCACAGAAGGATCTTTTTGTCCTAATCAGTTTCAATTCTCAAGGCCTCACATCACCTGGTCTTTAAACTGGAAGGCATGGATGTAAAAGAAGATTATGGAGACTGCCTTTTTCACTGTTGACTAAAAGTTTTTCTAATCTTTTTTCCCTGATTTTTATATCTGAACGTAATAATTGAACCCTAATAACTAATGTAACTGATGTACTCTGAATTTTCATTATTCATTCGGCATGTATTTCCATAAAGATATGTTTGATAGAGTTTGTTTTAGCCTAAGCACAGTTGTTTTGACTATCTCACTAATGAATGTGTCTCTTAAGGTGAACGAGGACACCTGCCATATAGAATGTGAAGCAATGCTTCACATATTTCTGTTTGCTTTTTCTATGAAGCACATACCGTAAATATATTTCTTATTAACATTATCTTGCACTTGTCAGCTTTGACCCCTTGAAGGATGTGGAAAATGTTATAGTTTTGGTTTTCATTCTATGAAGCCAGTATAAAACGGTATTGTAGTAACCAGTTTGGTTAGATAGAATATTGCTTTTGCTTAAGGGTAGCCATTTCTGCATCAAGCCCTGTAAACAGAATACAAGGTACTTTTACACTGTATGTATGTCATACCTTAGTTTACAGTCGTCACTTTTGATAATTAGGAATTTTTACAGTATGTATCAGTATGTAAATCAGTTTTTGTAGACTTGTAATAAATGTCCACTGCCTTCGTAAAACTGATCATCGCTGGAAACTGAAGGCTTGCGCTTGTATCATAGTATTCATGGAAAGCAATAAATGCTGAAATTTGAAGTGTACCGTACTTTGCCCAGCTGGTGTTAAGGGAGTTGCTTATCCGGGTTAATGTTAACACAACAATTGTGTCCAGGGAATTATTGTTTAGCTGCACTCAAAATGTTATGAGAATAGAAACATTTCCTGACATTATAAAATTTTAGCCCAGAGAAAAATACGAAATTTTATGTACAGTTGTTGTCTGTATCACCTATCTGTTGATATCTAGCATTTTAGTCACACTTGTGAAATCATTCCACTCAAACGTTCTGCTTTCAGCGATATATATGTCAATGTTAGCATAGTTTATTTATATGCTGGTGGTACACCATAACCTTAGCCAAAACATGAGTTTGATAGCATAGTGTTTTTCAACAGCCACATTATTAGGTGCAAATGTTTAATGTAAATGTCTTTGAGGCATTTGGACTTGGTCACGAACACTTGTTAAAGTTCAAAGCAAGTCTCAGAATAGGAAGAAAGGGTGATTTGACTGACTTTTGTTGCTAAACAGGCTGCTCTGAAACTGCTGATCTACTGGGATCTTCCCCTGCAGTCTTATAGTTTATAGAGAAAGGTATAGAAAAGAGAAAATAACCAGCTTGCAGCAGTTCTCTGTGACGTTATTTTACTAAGCTAAAACTCTAGAAGTAACAATGACACACACACACACACACACACACATATATATATAATACATTACAGAAAACTGCCAGGCATGGGTGTAGAAACGGGTGATCAGCACAGGTAAAACCCTTTGTACGATGACTGGGTGAGGGGGAATATCTCTTGTGTAAGACAGGAGGTGTGAATCATTTTAATCATGCAAGGATATCATCCAGTGACTCCTCAATGGCCTTGAAACCTCTAAGCTAAGATTATCACTACTCCTGTTGTCAGCGCATATTTTAGCCAGGAAGGAAATGGGCCAAGCCATGTTTTCACCTATAAACAAAAGATAAGATCCTGCTAACGCTGGTGTTCTATTGAAAAAGTATAGCTGTTTCCAAGTCTGCTTTCTACTCAAAAAAAACCAAAACAACAAAAGCCTGCTTGATGTTTGACCCTTTTCCAAAATAGAATTTCTATTTTAAGATATGAGGTGGATTTAAATGCACATCACTAGTGACAACAATTTTATTATAGGCTTCAGTAAGACTAGAGTGGGCATTCATAGAGTAATCAGGGTACCAGTTAATTACCTGGCACCTGAAGGTCAGGGTTTCCAGGGATAACTAAAGGACTGAGCTGAGTGAATTATCAGACGGGTCAGGAGCTTTCTATTTTGGAATAGATTACTTATTAGTCCACAGGTAATACTTTATTTTAATGTGCTTGACCTTTTGTTTGATCATTCTATCAATTCATTTGATTTTCCCCTCAATTAAATAACCTCAAAAACTAAAATTTGAATTCTAGCTCTGCTTTGTAAAGCCTTAAATCACTCGATTCAAAACTTTTATACACTATACAGACTTTAGGCCTTAGCTTTGGCATTTTATGCCTTAAAGTAAATTTAAATCATATAATTAAATAATAATACATTTTAATTTGTGAAAATTGAATGAAATCAGAGATCCTTAAAACCCTTTTATGTCATTTCCCCCCACAACTTTTACACACAGTATTGTTTTTCTTCTAGTTTAGTATAGATACAAGCAGCAGCACAATCTTCTCATAATCTGGCTGTGGACTAATTGAATTTGACAAGTGTTCATTTCTAATCCATTATCATGTGATCCATAGCAGTCTGTGTCTCATCCTCACTTTCAGTAAGGATTTGCCACAATTGAGAGCCGAATAACAATTCAGCTTCTATGGACTTTCATGCCATATTGGTCAATTTGGTTTTTGCTGATTTGCACAAACTTAGCCGCAGCCACTGACTCTGTAACTGAGCACTTTTTTCATTTTGTAATGTAGGTGGAAGCTTAAAAAATGTAACCAGGTCAAACCAGATTTGTGTAATGTAAGAGATAATATTTGTTATTTTCAGCAAGAATAAAAATATTACCAACATGGGTCAACGCCTGAGTGAAGAGAGTGACCAAGACAAGGAAATCGATGTGGCGGAGCTGCAGGAATGGTACAAAAAATTTGTTGTGGAATGCCCAAGTGGAACGCTGTTCATGCACGAGTTCAAGAGTTTTTTTGGCGTTACTCATAACAAGGAAGCTGCAGATTACATTGAAAACATGTTTCGAGCATTTGACAAAAACGGAGTAAGTACAAACTTCAGTTCTGTCTCATTTTAACATTGTTACCAAACTACACAGCAGGACAAGATATTAATACACATTTGTTGATTCGGAAGGTTGCTTGTGCTGTTTCAGCTGATGCCCATTATCATTTTAAATATTTGAAGGGCAGAAAACTCATTTGCAGCAATTTTGAGGGCTAACTTAATTTGTACAAGTAAGGAAAAATGTCATAAACGCTCATGTATCAATTTCACTGAGAATACTTTTTGGGTTTTCAGGGTATACACAGCAGGCAAACTGGATGTTTCAGCTTAGCTCTAGGAATAATGGATAATTTTCCCTATTCTCTGACAGGTTAAAGTCCACACTGAAGTAAACATTTAGGTTCTTAGTCACATCCTTGTATTCCTTCACAACATTTGAACCTTGTGTGCACACAGGACAACACCATTGATTTCTTGGAGTATGTGGCAGCTTTGAACTTAGTCCTTCGAGGAAAACTGGAGCATAAACTTAAATGGACATTCAAAATGTATGACAAAGATGGAAGCGGGTGCATCGACAAAACAGAGCTTCTAGAAATTGTGGAGGTAATATTTACTATTTTAAAGTCTCCATGCGTTCTGCATAGTTGATATTATGCAGCTGAATTGACTGACTAATGAACTTTAGTCAGTGAAGGAGTCACTGTAACATATTTTCCTGTAACTCTCAGTCTATTTATCGGCTGAAGAAAGCCTGCCATGGAGAGCTGGATGAAGAATGTAATCTGCTGACCCCAGACCAAGTGGTTGACCGGATATTTGAGCTGGTTGATGAAAATGGGGATGGTGAGTGTTTGCAATGGTTCCTAACGGCTTAAAATGTTCCATGGATGATTTAAAACACCTGTGGCATTGTGAAGCACTAATTGTAAAATTGTATGCGTATTCGTTATTGCTTGTTTATATTAAAAGGATAGGTGGGTGCAAGCTTTACAATGGTCATCTATCAGGAATGAAGAAATGTATACTAAGAATAACTGTCCTGCGTCACTTAGGGGAGCTCTCACTGGATGAGTTCATCGATGGAGCACGGAGGGACAAGTGGGTGATGAAGATGCTGCAGATGGATGTGAACCCCGGAGACTGGCTCAATGAGCGACGCCGTAGTGCGGACTTCTAGGGGGAAGCACAGACCGTCAGTCTGTCATGCACAATCCTGATGTGTAACTATTCATATTGTGATTTTGTGTATATTGCAGTTTATATGTATATAAAATAAAACACTGATACTGTCTGACTGCTAACGTGCTATATGCTGTTGTATCATATTTAGATACATGTCCACATCAGTGCTGAGATTTTCACAAGCTTTCATTTATTGCTGCGTATGATGATGTAGGTTTTGTTTGTCTGCCCTTGCTTTATTTTCTTATATGTAATAATATAAGCAAAAAAAGAGTTATCCAATAAACATATTAATAAATCACAATAAATGTCAAATGTGAATTTCTTAAAACATAAAACACCAAATAAATTTAGGAGACCACAGGAAGTAGCCAACTTTTATTGATAGGCGTTGAATAAAAGACTTCTAAACACAAACATTAGTGTATAGTGTTAAAAATGGGGTTCTATTAAAGTATGCTTTGCAATTATTCTAATGAAAAAGTTAAAATATTTGTTTTGCATATGTATCTGACAAACCTTCACATTCCGAAGGCGTGATCGTCCACAGGGTCTCGCTATTTCTCGCGAGACGATATGTTACGTAGCAGCTTTTCATACACCTCCAAACCAACTAACCTTCCGAGAACGGTGTTATTTACGTAAGTTAAACAGCTTTCTGCAGGTAGCAGTTTTTAAGTCATACGAGCGACTGTAGTAGCGCACAGCGTACTGTGCAAACTAGCAAACAGGTCTTCCAGCAGAAATTGAATGTCGATACTTCCGTGTGTTTGTAGTGTGTGTTCAAGATACTTAACAGCAAATCAAATCGCCCTGCAAGTGCTTTACCCTCGCTTGTCAATGTCGTCCGAACCTCATATGTCGGCCAGCACCCACACAACTAAGGTAAACTTCAGTTTCTGGGGTTTCTCCGTCAAGACACCAGTGTTTACTGTATTTGTTATTCCGTCGTTATGCTTCACGACATTGTCTAATGCTGCCCCCTCCTGGTTAGCCTGCAGAACACAAGTGGAGGCTGAGTTATGTCACCGGGGACCTGTTCTCCTGCCCTGCGCGTGAAGCTCTGGCCCACTGCATCAGCGAGGACATCCGTATGGGGGCAGGCATAGCTGTGGAATTCAGAAAGAGGTTTCAAGGGGTGACTGAGTTAAAAGAGCAAAGTGAGTCAACCCTTTCATTAAAGATTCATCAGGGATGAAGATGTCTTGTGATCATTTTACCAGCATGGACACAGTTTTTTTTAAAAGCCTTTAACCTCCTCCTCACTCGCTTTCCTTTTGTAACAGCCTCGGTTAGGAGTTTTTTCTACACTGTCTGAGAGTATCACATTGTATCAATTTTGTCTGACTCTGTGTACACATGAACTCATATTCTTCCACACACATTCACTCTTACAGAAAGTCAAGGTAGTATCGTATGACAAATGTGTAAATGTGACTTTGTATTTGTATCCTGCTGGGCGTGCCACTTACCAGCGTCATAATGGATGACTGACAGGTGCTCGCTCTCTTGTGTAACCTCCTAAAACTGAGCAAACACCCATCTGCTGACTCGTTTGGAAACGTTGTCTTATGTTTCAAAAATAACTTGCTGAACTTTGTTTCTGAGAACATTTGAAGTGAGGAATAGGTTGAATAAGTTTGCCTTAACATGTGAAAGTTTTGGGGAGTTTTCAGAGGTGCAGGGTCTCTCTAAACACAACACGAAGATACTCGAATGCTTTGCAAGGCACTGACAGATCATGTGGACGCTTCAGTCTGGAAGCTTTATTTTTGGTTATAAAAGGATATTAACAACAGATTCAGTGTCTCTGAATAGAAAGATAGCAGTACAGTCATACAATCACAGATGAGCTGTGATGGTGTAACACTGACTTGAAACGCACACGTGTTGCTCTTTTGTTTTTGTTTTTCCATATTAATTGTTAAAAATGGCACGTCAGTTTTTCTCTAAAATGTTTGTGTCAAACAAGGCCTAGTATTACATCAAATGTCTTGGCAGATTAGAGGGAGGATGTGTTTGAACAGGATAGTGCACAGACACTTTGTGCCACAGCAATGACACATGAGTTTTTGCTTTTGGATTTGTTTGGTTCTCAGGCTAGTAAACTTTTTGATAAACAACTCTACTTTCTAACTTTTTGTGTGTGTGTGTCTTCCGGTGTTTTTATTAAGGGTCTAGGGATTTATGAATCTTTTTTTTTTTATCAAGCTTTGTTCTAATGTGGATATTATATTTCTTTTTGTCTTTCTATTCTTTATAATCCAAACAGAAAAAGTTACAGGACAGTGTGCCGTACTGAAAAGCGATGGACGCTTTGTCTACTATCTGGTACACATGTTGATTAAACTTCACTAGATGTACACTTTTAGACAAATCGAGAGATTTTATCCAAAAGCTGTTGTGGTTAGTGCAATGAAATGTTGTTTTTTCTATTACTTTATTTTAGATCACAAAGAAAAAGGCAAGCCAGAAACCCACCTATGACAGCCTGAGACAGAGCCTGGAGGACATGAGGTCACATTGCCTGAAGAACCAAGTATCAAGAATATCGATGCCTCGGTTTGTATGATTTCTTTTCTCTTTTGTGACCCTTAATTGAGAGAAATAATAATAAACAAATTCATTTTAAAATCAACTAATTGTGGCATTTATTAAGTTGCTGTGGTAGTTAAATTCTTTATCTATTTCTCTGACAGTATCGGCTGTGGCCTGGATCGACTCAAGTGGACGAGCGTGTCAGAGATACTGGATCAGGTCTTCAAACACACAGACATCTCCATCACAGTTTACAGTCTTCCTCAGAAAGAAGAGACCACAGTGATGAAGGAAAACAGACGCAGATGATTCATGGAAATGTTAATTATTGAAATACTGATGTATATGAAGCCAAGGAGATTTTTTTTTGTCAAAGTTGGAAACATGTTATTTTCTCTGTTAAATAAAATAAAGCTTTCTTTTTATAAAAGAACCCACATAAGCTCATATCCAACTAGTAGTGGTATTATTATAGAACCTTTTTGTAATGACTGTTGGGACTACTTCCAAAATATTTTAATCTGTATTCATCACTAAATTAAGATGAACCCGGATGAACTCAGTTTAATATCTCATATGGTGTGTTTTATACCACGGGACTGAGTATAAAGCGTCAGTTATCTCTTTATCTCCCCCTTCTTTCACTAAGCATTTACATTGTTGGTTGAGCAAACAGTGCCTTTCTCTCTGGTCATCATATAACTTCTGGAGTGCTCATCATGGCCACTGCAAATGCTCAAGGTATTGTATGCTTCTTTATTGATCTGCTGGGGTATTGTGCTTTAATGCAGCCGAGGAACAATGGACCAGATGTGAGTGAAAGAGAGCAGGGAATTTGACACCACAAAGTCAATCCTGCACATCCATTTTCTCCAGTATGGGAAAGCCTTTTAACGCATGATGAAATTCAAGTGGAAAGGGGAGAGGTAATGACATACATTTTCCTTTCAAGATATTTTATTGCAATTTCTAAAGGGGGCTTCATCTAACTGTGCGATGATATTCACTTCAGGTGCTGGTAATTAACGCGAACGTCAGTAGTGGCGAGACTGCTTGAACAGTGTGCTGCCTGCTAGCCTCCCATTCTCCTTTGGGGCACTTTCAATAATTCATGAAGAAAAGGCATTAACCGCTGTGCACACTGCGGATGGCTGCCCATTTCCTCCCGTATATCCAGGCTGGCTGGGAGACTTTGGTATCACTGCAACCAGCCTCCTCTCTCTTCCTCCTCCTCCTTCCTTCCCATCCCCCTTCCTGCCTGGGAATTAGACTCCACACTGCAGCAGAGCCACCTAGCTGTGCTGCAGTGAGCACAGGGAAATCTCCCTTCATCTGACCTGCTGTCACAGTCAACGTGCTGCCGGTGTTGGACGGTGCAGCGAAATCTGTTCTCACCCCACCTTATAGCCCCCTTGTCTCTTTGTTCCCATGCAACGTCTGCTTGTCCCACTGCAGTACACTGGCTCGCCTCCGCTGCTCTCCCTCATTCCCATTCCCCCCCCCCACACACGCACAAACACTGATAAACTCTCCCCATCCTCGTCCCTTTTTTTCTTTGCTCAATGCGTATGAAATTGCAGAGCTCAGCATTCTTTTCCACAGGCACTTAGGGAAAAAAAGGAATAAAAAAAAAGAGAGATGAGCTGGGCGGGAGGGCTTCTGGTGCACCACATAACTGGCTCCCTTCCAACTAAAGAGGAGAGCTTATGTTATTGAAGAGCAGCTTAGCCAATCAGGAAGCAGTGCAGGCAAAGACAGCAGGAAAAAAGCAGCAGAGCGGCTGAGCAAGAGAAAGAAAAAAAAAACTGCAGTGTGTGAGTGTGTGTAGTTTTTATCCCTCCCCTGAGCAGATCTTTATCAATTTGGGTACTCCAGTCTTGGGGTGCATTTGAATGGGAGTCTGTGTGTCAGAGTTTACAGAGTAAAGGTGTGTCTACACTGCTATGTTAGACTCCTGACTTATTCATTCTGAAATTGGAAATAAGAGAAAGTAAGAAGAGATTGATTATTTCTCTCTCTATCTCAAAGTGTCTGGGAATCTGCAGAGAAGGGGGAAGAACTCCGTGTCCAGGAGAGAGCAACCTGCACAAAAGGTAAGCAGCTGCATTCTCCTTCTGCAAGCATGCCGGATTATTTCACTTCTGAAGTTGTGTTCTGTGTTCACTGTTAGTGAGTGTACTTATTCTTTTCCTTGTTTTAGTTCTTCACACACAGTTCCCTTTTAAATGCATACATGGATCTCTGTTTGTTTCCATTTCTTTTTTGCATAATATTTGATGAAAACGAAGAAGGAGAGAGAAAGAGGGAGGGGGAAGGTTAGTGTGGGACTCCCTGATGCTCCTAGGCAAGTTTCTGTGCACACGGTTCTCTAGTGCTGCAGTATCCCATTACATCCCTGTGCAGAGCTGCCTCAGCATCCAGACAGTGCCAGGATGAAGCAACCCAAACCAGCTACCAGCTTCCCAAATTTGCTCTCACAGTTTTACCTCGTTTTCACCTATCCCGGTTTGGGATAAGTGAACTTTTGCTACTTATATTGTGAATAGGTACACTATGATAAGCTTAGTGTGGTAAAAAGACTACGTCAGCCCATTATAATTTTATCCTGCACGCTCTCGTTGTGTACCCGGAGTGTCAGTGGGGTTGCTTAGATAACAGTTTGAATTGGCTCTGATAGTGTTTGAGACCGGCGATTAGTTTTTGTTTGGTTTATCCGGTGCTCTGGGACTTCCTCCAGTCTAAGCCTGCAGCAAAAGTGGGCTCTCTGATTGGCTGAACTGACTAAAGTGTACTAAAGAAACACAAAAAGATAGAAATAATATTATGAATTATTATTATTGTTAAAAATTAGCTCAAACAACAAAGGATAGTAAGTTGACATACAGTTAAAAGGGTTATTCATAATTATATGTTTTTATATTAATGATTTCATTCTTTTATTTAAGAGAAATTGCAGTAATTTAGTATATCCTCCTTTCTGTTCTGTATATCTGACCTTGATCATTTCTGAATGAAGATGTGATGTTGTCCAGCAGTGGGCACTATGTGTTTTCTCTGCTGAAAATGTCTGTGAACACTGGCCTGCTGCAGAGCAGGGAAAAATAATAGATGGACTTTACATGTTTATGAGGATGCTGAAAATACTGGATGAGCATTTTTTTTGTGTTTTCATATTAGTTAAAAGTTAAAAGCTCGTACCTTGTACTCTGATAGTAGCTATAAGCACGAGACATACATCTAAACCCGATCGTAATGTAGATTTGTGTTTCAAGTTTTCAAGACTTTCTTATATACAGGGGTACAAAGAGGGTTGGGAAGAAAATGTAATCTGTTTCAGCACCATGGACAGTGCACATAGCAGGGACCTTTTGCAAGAGCTTCCTTTATAAAGTTTGAAGCAAACCAATGTTTAGTGAAGACTAATGGGCATTCCTAATTATCTTTGGTTAGCTGATGTAATACCCTGCCTGGTTAAATTTTCTAAATTGTTATATGACGTTTGCAATGGCTGTGTGGCTTTGCTTCTTCATTATTCATACACCTCTCTTCTTCTGGAACACAGTTTACCTTAAGAAGAGCTGTGTTTTTGTGAAGGAACTGAAAAGTGGCTTCTTCACAGTTTCATTTTGAAAAGAAAATACACACACAAAAAGGAAAAAAGAACGTTTTGGCCGGCCTTGTCTACCTGTATTATTGCTGTATGCTCTAGGTGGGAGTGTCAGCACTGAGATTTTGTTCAGCTTTCCTTCCATCAATCCAACTGCAGCAGCAAGATATTTCAAGCTTGACAAATGGGTTTTACATGGACTTATTGAGTGATCACCCAAAATCCAAATGACAATGTTATTAAAAGAGAAACAACACATCGTTCCAGTTAACAGTGGCTAGCAATTAATTATGTTTTCTACAAATCGCTTGCAAAAAAAAATGAAAATTACATGCAATGACTTTTCTTCATACGGCTCTGACACCTGCTGTGACACAGAGCTTTGTTTTATGAAGCGACCACAAAAGTGTCTCTGCAGGATGCTGCTGCCAGACTGTAAAACTCATTCAGGAAGTGATGATCAGAAACCTCTGCTCTTTAATGGGAAATAGATATGAAACCCCTCACCATTCCAAGAAGTAGACAGCATCTTGAAGATAAATGCAGAGTGTGGGAGATGGAGGAGGGTTAAGCTTTTGCTGTTAGATGGAATGTAGATGGAATGAGTCACGCCAAAAACATTTGCGGTCATGTTCTTGTATTTATTTGTGTAAGCGCTTTGAAAGAGGTTTCTTGTTTCATAATCAAATTGCCTGCAAGGTTTATCTCGATAACTTTGTAAACACTGCATGTAAGTCATTAGCGTAACTGTTTCTAACAGTTGTGAAGTTTCTGGGGGAAGGGACCAGCTGCTGGGCTTGTCATTGCTCATCCTCCAAGCGTGACATCCTCTGTCCCATGCTGTGCGGCATGGGCGTTTAGTGTGCCCCTGTAAATGATGGTGGAGGCAACATAGCGGAGCAACAACGGCTGTCACTGTACATTTAGCAACAATCTCAAAACTGCCCATCTCAGGATAAGAAGAGGTGCTGTAAAAACTCACCAGGCTATTTTGTTTAGATTATTCCGATGCAAATAGAGGATGCTGCAGATGTTTTAGCCGAGCAGTCTCTTCTGGGGATGCTATAATGACACCTTGATAAACACAGCAAGTGGTGCCAATGAAATTGCGTGTATGTGTACTTGTACTGCTAATATAGAGATGTAAATTATAGACATTCTACTCCATTTGGAGAAAAAATGGAAGTCTGGAATAATGGGGTTAGAAGCAGGCTAAGATAACTCTCCAGGTAAAGGTTATTTGATGTATATATGTATTAGTCTTATAGATGTGCATGTGAGAAACAGAGGGTAGGGTAGTTTAAAAGAACAATATAAGAGACAGCAAGGGAAATATCGATTGCAGTCAACCATAAGAGTGTTGAGAGAAGCAGGCAGGAAAAGCACATAACGAATCTGAAGAGAAGAGATGAGGGAAGACAAATGATACAACCATTGGCCAGAGAAGGGTAGAGAGATAGAGTAAGAGATTGAGAGATTGTCAGAGGCAGAGCAAGAATGGAAGAGAGTGGGTGTGCATAGCAGAGCTACGAGCACTGCAGTACATTGCAGTGCCCAGCCCCCGCTGTGTTCTCTGTTCACCATCCGGTTCCATGCACTGAAAAGACCCCTGCAGCAGCAGCAGAGCAGCACAGCATAGAGGGCTGCCTGCTGGAGAACGGCAACCTGAGAAAATGCTGTTCACTCTTCGGTGTTCATTCTTGACGTCTGGTGATGCACGGATTTTTAAAGAGCGATGGAAACATGGTGAACGTGACAAAACAGCCGACCTGCTCCTGCTAGCGCATTGCCTTGTAGACAGAGGGAGTAGTCAATTCACAGTCAGTCCCTGGATTATGTAAGCATATAGCACATTCACTTTGCTGGGTACTGACTAAATGATCCCACCTTCTCTGGCCATGTTTTCCTCATTAGGAACATCTGCCTCACTGTTTGTTTTTGTTCAAGAGCTAGCATCTTTGCAAACAGAGGAGAGCAATTTATTTAAATGCAAGTATAGGGAAGCAAGCCAGATAAACCTTTAAATATCTGGAGTTTGCATACCTTTGGCTTCATATTTGTTCGATGAAGGCATGTGTGGCAGATATGAAGTAACAGTCCCACAAACAACTTCCAAGACCTTCACTTGATGTGGGCTCAAAAACAAAAACCCAAAACAAAACACTCCTTAGTCAGTTTAATGTCAGGCAGAGTACATTATGCATAAATACCTTAAATACCTTAAAGAACACTTCAGTTCTGTAGGATTAATTATTCAGCTTTTGTCCAGGCAAGTAATACTCTCTCACTGTCACTCTCAAACACATGCACATGCACACATGCAAACACATGCATGCAAATGTAAAATGAATCTTAATCATGTGAAAAGCTCTAGGAAACGAAAGAGAAGCTTGTTTCTGCTTCCATAAACAGTTGCAACGTTTCCATCCCACTGCCTGCCTGGAGGGTGGTTGGCTGGAGTGTGAGAGCTTCTCCCATTCTACGCTTTCTGGTTTCCATCTACTTTGCTGATGTGGCTGATTCAGATTGCGTAGTGTGGACTCTCTCTGCTTCCTGTGACACAACAGTGATTGTGCTCAGGAGTGGTTGAGTCAATTACACCTTGCCAGACAGGTGTTTGAGCTGTTAAGTGTGTTTCCTCGCCACATCAGACTGTTTGCTTCTGATTTGCACTGAAAAATCAGCACTAGGCTTTGGAAATGACACAATATAAATATGAGCTGCTTGTGAGTCACACTGCAACTAAAGATAGTAATACAACTCGCAATCATTATAAATGTACCCATTAACATCAGCTGCTTACTCTATTTCTGGATTGAAACATTTCCTTCATGAGGCCATCTGGTACAAAAAATCAAAACAGTGGTTTCGAAATCGATTGTTCAACCTACTTATGTTTCACACATTTAATCATTTCAGCTTTTAATATGAAGTCGTACAAAGGGAAGAGAGAACTGTTTCTGTCCTGTCTAAAGTGTCTATATTCGCAGAAGGAAAATGTTGTCTTTGACTAGGGAGCGTTGAGAACGTAGTCTTGAAGAGAAAAAGAGAGAAACACTCATTTGTGGGTTGGTTGTGACAGAGACAGAGAGTGGGAGAAAGCAGTGGAGTATTGTAGTGTGGGTGAGCTGCAGTAGGGATTTGGAGTGCTGCATTGAGCTGCATAATTAATGTTAAGAGGGTGGAGCTAAAGGCAGAGATAACGTCCCATGAAGAGCAAGTCGGCGTAACACTGCCGATACAGAAATAGCCCCTTTTGTATAGGTGGAGTCACTCTTTAAGAGGCACAGACAGACCAGTATGGAAGTGATATCCTGATGGAAAACCAAGTGGGCACACTCAGTCTTTTAGTCCAGCTCCATGTCCCTGTCTCATCTGCTCCCCTGGCCCTCAAAGCCAATCATTCTTCACTGAGCTGCGTCCCACAGCCAAATGTCTCAATGCTGGCTGCACTGCTCTGTTAATCATCCAATTTGTAGAAAAACA